AGTAATATTAGCTAGACAGTTGCGACATTAATGTTAAGTTTGTCGGATCTTTGAATGGTCGTAACGCTCTTTATATGACGTGCAATGTTGCAGCAGCAAAGTAATCTGAGTCGTTAACGTATGTTTATCTCGTGTTTAGAGATTTATAATTATTTTGTAATAGATGTCGTATTATCATCTCATTTAGGTATATACAGTCTTGCAATTTGTACAAACATCCTTCCAATTTCTTCTACATGTTATTTACAGTGGCTATTGGATCAGTGCGCTACAGCTAAGTCTATGTATACCCATTCAGTAAACAATCCCACATTGCTTAGTAACAAAAATATTCTAACTATTTATTTCGTCAAAAATAGACATCTGCCTACAATTTTCATACCCACATCCACCTGAGGAAACATACACAATAAATTTATAATAATCAACATTATTTGTTAAACAATGATAACAATCAATAGACTTCTATTTTTTACTATACAATGTATGAACTCTCAACAGTCTGCTGTTAAATCATATCATTTACCTATTAATGTACAAAAGCACAGTACACTTATTTCTATTACACTCATTATAATAGCACTGAAGTTGCGTAGATCCAATCTGAAGACAGTCCGAATATTGCGACATACATTTAATATAATAAAGCAAAATAAGATATTATTTTCCACTGCATTCATTGCTAAAATTTATATCTAGACAGATTTAAGTTTTATAAAATGTATGCGAATATCAGTTAGAAAAATTAATAATTTCTTAAATTAGTACAAATAACTATGCAGTGATGTTTATTACAAAATCTATATTATTTTTATAACAAAAAGTAATATTTGACAAGCGAAACATTAGATGGTTGCTGCTCTTAATCTTCAAGCTTTTGCCTTTATATAAAATCTTAATAATCATGACAGCTTGAATTCTTGATAATGGTAACTTGAATTTTTTTAAAGGCCTTTGTAGGTCCTTTATCAAAATATAATTATTATTTATAAAACCTACAGAATATTGATAACATAATTAAATAAATATTTCATGGGCTACAAGTGCAGTACACCATAAAACAAAACTCTAATGACAATATTTATTAAAATCGAAATACAGAATAATATGAAAGGAACATTTCACACTAATAACAATTTGACTGGAGCCACGTCGAGTAAATATTTCCGGACGTGAAGAGTTGTAAATTTTTTAAAACATACCAACTATACGGTTGATCAAGATGATCGTATCAATAAGTTTCTATAGATACGTTGCGTTAACTAGTCATCTATGATTACACGACATTTTTTATTGCGGTAAACTGAATATCTTCGTAGAATATCGGCATTTTGCGATTCTTTTGTTACGTCATACGGTAGGCTATGAGTTGACCGATATTAATATGCGACCGAATTACCGAAACCATGTTGCGCCGACGCCGTAGCTCCAGTCAGATTAGCTTGTCATTAAAATCTTTATCTGTAACTGATTTAATGAAGAAAATATTTTTTATCATTTTGTGATCCAAGTAAAATTATTAAATTAAATAAATAGGTACATGCACATAATATTTTATTAGGTACAGTGAAAACTCAAAATATGTATAATAGGAAAATGTATTATTTTTTACTTATGTAATTAATTATTGTTCAGATAAATTCCGTAGGTAGTATGACTTAACTTTCAAGATTTGAATGTAGCAGTTTCAATATTACATATTCATTTTGTACATATTCTGTTTTCTATTAAATTGTATTAAATTCAATAAAATCCGTAATAAATAAAGTATTAAAAAAGGAAATATATAGCCCAAAAATAAAAAATATACCTAGGTATTGGATAAAAAAATTGTGTAGTGGTGGCCCGGAGGTTAAGTCTTGCTCATGGACTATGAGGGTGCAGGTTCGAGACCTTGAAAGTACCACTGTTATGTTTTCCGGATTATATGTAAATTTTCTAAGTATATTTAGACATCACTGACATATGGTGAAAGAAGACATGACTTATACTATTGTGAATTAAACTGTCAAATACCAAGCGGTCACCGGTGACCGCAACCTATTGTTCTATAATTGTGTCTACAAAACCGGTACTCGACGAGTTAAACTTTCAAACACCAAGTGGTCACCGGTGACCGCAACCTATTGTTCTATAATTGTGTCTATAATAACGGTACTCGACGAGTTAATAGTTTCAAATAGCCAATCTACTTTGAGCAAGCACTGTGATTAGTACTCATACCTGCATGTGAAAAAAGGCTTATAAGCAGTGAACACTTATAGGCTGATTAGGATTATTGAAATCAAAATGTTACAATGATTGTAACATTTTAGGCAAATTAACAAACCATAAGTATTCACTTCATCCACATTGCTATTATTATCAGATGTTTTGTAATCCTGATTATCTAGATTACACAAACATGAATACCTGAACTGTGAATACTACTAAAAATGTGCTCCAGGTATTTCAGGAATTCATCTGAATAATAAATGATCATTTCTGCATTAATTGCTTTGACATTCATGTATGTATAGTTTAATATAAGTTCCCACAAAAATTATGTCATTTTGATAATTATTTATTTATTACGCTTAGCATTTGCTTTTTCTATTTTAGAGATAATTTGAGTACTTCAGTCCTATCATGAATTCCATTACAAAACATTTATTCTATATACTAGCTAATAAAACAGAAATGAGATAATCATAATAAAATGATGAGTACTCATATCTGCAGTTATTATTAAGTGTTAAAAATTATGCAGTTATTATTACACTTTTAATAAAAATAATTGTTGCACTGATAAAATGAAAAGAACAAATAAAATCATGAATATGTGATAGATACTGGAAATTATTTAGATCACAAATTGATAAACATAAGCATAAGACTAATTATATGTATATAATGTACATATAAAAAATAATCTAGTGTGTAATGTTCATTTCATGATACTGTAATCTACTTTATTTATAATATAATTATATAAGTTTGAATAAATCAACGAAACACAAGCAACTCCACAATAAATAAATAACATCAGTAGCAAACTATGTATTTAAACCACTCTCTTTACCATTAGAACAACCCTTTTGTATAGTGTAGATAAAACAAATGATAAATTATCTAATTGTTGCTACAATCACAGAAATTATTGTGAGCTTTCAACCAGATGATGGATCAAACAGAGTGGCCTTGGGACTGGTGCCGCTGTCCCCACTGACTAGAGGGTCCCTGTGCAGAATTACCTTGTTGCATCCAAGAGAGGAAGTTGGGTGGAGCAGGCGGCGCAGAAGATGCTGGACCAGCAAATGCGCCCTGCTCAGAGCCACCGGACGGTATGTTGTTGATGAGACCCCAGCCTGCAGCCTGGTTTAGGGCAGCTGCCACAAGAGCCTGATTTACTGGTAATCCTCCCATCCCAAGGGGCATGCTCCCACCTTGAGCCTGCCCACCACCTCCAGCAACTGCAGTTTGACCATGTTGTCCAGATAAACTCAAAGCTTGCATGTTCACCATATCCATGTTGCGGCTGCTCCATGAGTTGTTGTTTGATGCATTGTGTGGGTGCCCATCTTCATAGTTGCGGCCAGGCATCGTGCGCTGATTAGAACCACTTTTGTTTTGCTTGGGTGATGCATTAGAAACATTTACAGATACTCCTTTAATAATATGATCTTGACCACAAAGGCTTTGTGCAACCTCAGGATCCAAAAATGTAATAAAGCTGAAGGCTCTAAATGGTTTAGGAATAAACACATCAGTTACCTCCCCAAACTGTGAGAAGTATTCTCTCAAATCATTGGCTGTTAACTCTTCTGTACAGCGGCCAACAAACACTTTACAAGGCATTGATGCAACTGATCCTTCTTTTGAGTTAGGTATCCGAACATCACACCATCTTCCATCAATCATATGCCGCTGAGCAAGCACCCTCATTTGAGAAGTATAAGAAGCAAATCTAATGAAGGCAAAACCTTTCGACATTCCCGTTTTAGGGTCTCTTTTTAATTGCGCCATTAAAACTTCACCAAACTTCTCAAAGTATTCACGAACAGTTTGCTCTGTGGCCTTCCATGGCAGCCCCAATACTATCAAATCAGAGCACAGATTGTCATTTCGCTTGTTCTTCGTCGCAGCCGATTCAGAGGTTTCACCCGGTTTACGTTTAGATTCTTTAGGGAAGCTACATATGTATAAATGGTTACCCCATCCTTCAGGGGGTGGGTACAATCTGCCCTCTCTTAATCTGATACCCCTGATGATTTTCGTTTCAGGGTGACGATATTTTAGGCCACAACAGCCTGGAAATTGCGCCGACACGGTAGTTAACATCAACGTCCCATCATCTTCGATTGGTAATTCTATGGGTTCTTCATTTTCGTCTTCAGCCACGGGCAAGTACTCGAAGGACATTATTTCTTATTCATGAACAATATTAATAAAAAATGATAAAAATAAACACAGATTTTAAACTTATCACTATACAAATGTACAATTTTTATGTCATATAAATAAATAAAATTAATTAACGTCACCTACGGGTTATAAACCCATTGCAATTTGCAGGTTGAAAACATAGTTCGACAAATAAATTTTGATCTATTGTAGAGGTGGAATCAAAGGGAATTTGTAGAGTTACAAGTGTCAAATAATGGTGATCATACTATAGTAATAGACAACTTTCTAAAATTGACGTTTTACATCACCCCAATGTTGCCAGTTGCCACTGTATAATAATCCAATAGTAAGAATGAAAATGAATGAAATCGACAAAATAATACTATGTAGAGAGGAGAATAAACTGCACTGCGCGATCTTACCAGGGAAGGATCCAACTATCCAAGCAATCTATAATGTCAGATTGAATATTGATTATTTTCTGCTATAAATTGGTATAACAGGAGATATTGTATTTTTCAAAGAATTCGCTCGAAAAAGGGTTCGATACTGCAACAAAATCTAGAGGCCTCTTCGGGTCCACATCGTATCAGTGGGTCCACTTTATGGGGCAACGACTCTATGGTACTTCAAATCCTGGGTTGACTGTTTGAAAATTAAAATAAATAAATGCAGAAATTCGTCAGAAAAATAGTGAATGAATTATTGATGTGCTCTTTTCATTAACTTACAAAATTTGATATTGTTTTAAATAATATAGTTTAAGGTGAATCTTTATTTTCAGTCACTGAAATAATTAGCATTCATTTTAATAACAAAGTGTTAATTCTAACATAACCTAAATGTGTTAACAGCAAAAGATTCTTTGATATGTTATAGTTCAAAAACCCTTATTATAATGTTATTGTCATAAATGTTTATTGTATTTAAAATAAGATTGCTATGGATGATGACTCTAAAGAATATAGAAGAAATAAACCACAGCAAAAGTTTTATAAACCAGGTAGTGGACCATTAAGACGATCAAGTTATGGTTTGGACGCTAAAATGGACACAAACGACTTAGACGGAGGTTCCAAAAGCCGAAACCAAAATTATTACGGATCTCAAAACTCCATTGCGGACGATTTAAGCGACTCTTACAGAGGAACGAGTATGCGTCACAAAAAACCTGAACAACAGCTTTACGTGCCTCGATCAGGAGATTCTTGCTCTGATAATGGTAGACAATCTAAAGTACCAATGAGGTGTGATAATTCTAGTCAGTACGTCAATAGAAGAATGTCTGATAATCCAGACAGACAGGGTTCAGGGTCTTATTCTAGAAGTGCTTCCAAAAGAGATAGATCTTTTGCAGACTACCATAACAAAGATGGTACAAATAATGATATTAATTATAATAGACAATACAGACAAGCCTCTGAAACAAGATCCATTTCACCTACACATATGCAAGATCAAAACTCTATAGATAGAAACAGAGATAGCAGAAGTATGGAAACATCAGCAGGACGACACCTCTCGTCTTCTGGAGGTAAACCACCATCTGGTCGACGTAACTCTTCAGGATATACATCTGATTCATCAAGACTTAAATATATGGTAAATTTAGATAATATACCTCCAAGATTTAGAAAGAAATTTTTAGAACAATCAGGCCATCACAATTTCGACAGTGATCAAATACGTAGAGACAAATATTCTTCAAATCAGTCTGTGCAACCAGTTTACAACCAGGATACTCCATATTACAACATGTCAAACTGGTCCCAAACATTGCCATCAAGAGGCAGAGGAAGATTAAGAGACAATGAAGGCTTTGACAGAGAAAAATTTATAAGTACATATTTGAAGAGCTATGATGTGCAAAATTCTAGAAAATCTACTCCTAGTAGTTCATATCTGAATTTATATGATACAAATTCAGTGGAAAATAAACAAGCCAATGATAAAGTAAATACTGGGCCAAGTAGTACAGAGAGTCAAGAATTTCATGATGGTAAGTAGAATCATAATCTCCATTTGAAATGGATTTTATTTTATGTAGAAATATAAAGGCACATCTTATTAAAACATACCTAATTATCAGTAACTAGTCACAAATGTACTTTTTGTTTAATTAATCCAGTTTAAGTATAGTTATCTTCTTACAAAACAATTGCCTATTATATTGCTACACAGTTTGTATATTTCCTATATTATTTAAATCTGATAATGTATGTTACATATTTCTATGACTCTATGATTTTGTTAGAAAGTTAGTATTTTATATGTACAGTTTGTATGCCATTTTATATAGTTAGGTACTCCCTATTGTTATCAATCTATTTTTCACACAAGCTGTGTAAATAATAGAAGTGTATTATTACAAGTTGGATTTTGGTCATGTCTTGTTTTTTATATTTTACCTCATTTAATATTGTATTCTTATAAATTAAGGTTCAGAAACAACTTTATTGTTTTTTTAATTATGTATAATTTATACATAATATATGTTGCACCTGAATCTTTAAACATTTATATTTTTATCTACAAATTGTGTCATTAAACTGCCATACAGTCACGGAGAACCTAACAGGTTACCGGGGCTCCGGCTCGAAGTGCAGGAGAAGTTGGGGTGGTTTTTAGTCAGTAAGAGTCTGACACTCCCTTCCGCCTCACCCAGGCGGGAGAAGTCAATCAATGATTTTCCCCACTTAAAAAAAATGTCATACAAGGTGAACATAATTAGTTCAAGTAGAAGTTAGTCCTATGTGCCTAATAGGTAATTTGTTTGTTTAATTGTAACTTATAACTGTTTAAAATTATCAATCAAGGTTACTTTTTTGAGTTCTCTAATGCATTTATTAAAAACTCTATATTCTATGCTATAGCTTTTATTTTAAAAAAGTATTAGCAAACTGCATTAGTATATTTTATATTGATTAAATATATAAGCAAATAGATACCTATTTGTTTCCCATCCCATTTATATCCTAGTTGCAATTATTATGAATAATTTATATTATACTCATCTATTTTAGCATCGCAGAATGGTACAAGCAGTATGGCTAACACTATTTCTAGTAGCCAGCCAGAACATCATAAACAAGAAACAGACAATGAACACGACAGTGAAACTACATCTCAGATCTCAGCAACTTTACTGGATATCTCTAATTTGGTAATTATTTCTCTCTAAATGTATATTATTTTGCTCACCACAGTAATTTTATCTCTCAAGTTAATGCTAACTCTCGATTAATAAGGTGAGAGCTGAATACCCTATTTATTGGAGCTAAGTCCATAACCATCACAGATCTATACCTGTATAAAAATTCTAAACAAAATCTTCGATAGCCCCTGTTATTGATACTAAACAAGTACATGTTATAAAACGAAATGGGGGACTTCCCATTTTTATAAACTGAAAGAAGATAACATCGACTTTGGCTATGTAGTAGATAAAAGAAAGTATTTTAATTTTATTTCTTAGTAAATACCTGTTAATAGCCAATAATAAGTGACTTCTATGTATTTTAAGGACTGGACAGAAGAAGTAGAAAAGAATATAAAACTAGATGACATGGGTGATTCTTCAACTAGTTTTTCACAAAATTTGAAGAAGTCTGTTCAAGATGATGTGAAGCCCGCTGAACCTCGTGAGTCGAAACGAAGTGGAAGATCGCGGCGTAAAGATCGAAGGTAACTTCAGTTACTTTTATTTAATTTATTAAACAGTAAAAAATTATGCAGATTACTAGTCCCAAATTTCAAGTTCATAAATATTGCTAGTTAATAAAGTAAACTTTGTGTTATTTAAATTTAGATTTATTTCTTCGAAACCTTTTACGTTTGTGCTATGCTAAAATTGCTATAAATCGAATTAAAATAACTATTTGAATTACAGAAGTTCAAGTAGAGGCCTTAGAAAAGAGTCCGAAAAGAAAGTTGAGCGCAATAGGAAGGATAGTACAGCGAGCATTCAGCATGAGCCAGAGAGGGCTAGGAAGGACAGCAATGTTAGCATTCAGCATGAGATCGTGCACTCGGGACTGAAGCAGAGAGAACGCGAAAGACGAGACAGTCACAAGAGTAATCGTTCTTCGACCATCGGAAATAGTAGAGACGACTTGGATCGCTGGAGGTCGTTACGTTCTTACAGTAGAGAACAAAGCACTGAAGGGTAAGATAATTTCTTACCCTTCTTATCCTTATCCTTTAATTTTACCAGCCCTTGTCTATTCATATTGCAGAAATAATTTTCTTAAGTTACATACATTTGACATACTGAATATCATTTGGATTTGTAAAAAAATGTATATTGATATTGTAGGTAATTTTTCTGTGACTTTAGAAAGCCTTATTCGTAGCCGTATTTATTACCAATAGGTATTTATTGGTAAATTTTGTATTACAGGAGAATAGTTTCGCAATGTAACAGTCGAGACACGTCGGCTAACCGTGCTACTAGCCCGAGAGATCATGATGGTTTTAGGATTCCATCATCCATGTCAAAATCAGCAGCATGGCTATCAACAAATCCGGTACGCAATGTTAACAAATAAAAACTATTATTTGCTTGACTAGTAATATTGTTTTAAAAAAATATTGAAATCACACAATAATTTACGTTGGTTTGGTGTAGATCTCTATATCGTGGAATTTGTTCTAGAAGAAAAGCAACGGTTCCTGGGCTAACGGTCGTACTTCAAGCGTGGAGCGTGGTCGACAGTCGCCTGCATCGAGTCACGCCAGTGTAAGCACTGCGCCTGCTCCCGAAGGCGGCTCAGGACGACGTTCTCGTAAGCGTGCTGGTCGTCGCACTACGGAAAACAGAGGTTCGTCAAAATTCTTCTAACACAGGGTGAAATTGGAGCTAGTCAGATAACTACTACAATTATAGGGAAGTAAGATAATCGATGTTTTTCCAAACTAATTAAATGATCTTTGTGCTCAATTTCAATTAAATATCAGCCGTCCTAGCGCGATTGAGTAACATCCATCAAAACTTTCGCATTTATAATATTTCTTTAAAAATACTTGTCTTCCGGCGGGCGATCATGATGAATATTAATGAATGATTTGATGAAAATCTATTACAATTTATAGAGCGACGCCGTGGAAGAAACGCCGAAGCTCAACAGCCACAGCAGCAACATTCACAGAGCTCTCAGCACGCGCCGTCTGTGACGCCAGCCCCTGCCGCGTCACACTCGCACGGGTCCAGTTCTGGGACTCTGAACTGGAGAGAAGAAATTCTAGAATCCAAGAAAATGAACTCTCATGAAAAGTAAGACAATCATGTAAATAATTTCGTTACCAAGACGAAATTTCCCGTTTTTTTATATGAGTATTAAGGAGTGAAAATGTGCTAGTAAATGTCAACAAAAAAACTTTGAGAGTTTATCTTGTCCTTACTACTTTGAAAATACTACACACAGTATTTTGCATCAGTATTTTTTATGAATCTTATTTATCTGTTGTAGACATCCAGAGACCAACTCGCGCAATAAGGCTGCAGTGGACTCATCCTCATCACACCCTGGTTTAATCATGCTGCCACAAGCATCAATAACACATATGCAAAAAGACTTGGGGTAAGTTCCATCACCGAATTAAAAGAATTTATTAAATAGTTACCCCATGGTAACTATAGTTAAGTTGTGACATTTTGACTGATTTGTAACATTTTGACTTTCAGGAGAGGAGGTTCAGTAGAAACTCAAAAGACTTTGTTTGATCATCAAAATCCATCCAAACCTATAATTGTACAAACTAGTCCCTCTAAAATAGACATAAGAATGGAGAGAGGTACGTGAATTAATGCTAATTTATACATTATCGGTGGTGGTGATTCTGAATGACTTCCTACATAAAAACACTTTAATACGCGTAAATGCATATAAAATTTAACAAATCGCAACGTGAGATCGACCGGCATTGTAAGGTCGAATGAGACTTAAGAAATATTTGAAGAACTTAATACAATACAGACAAGACATTTGATTTGTGCCTAACAGTTTTATTTTTCTGATAGTGACGTTGTTTTTATAGTACATAAAATTCGTTCGCGATATTTTTCAGAGCATTGGGAAGCTATTTATAACAGTTTCGGATCTATACATTCACGCCCACTTGCTAAATTCGCTGTTTATTCTTAAACTAAACAATCATAAAACAAAAACGACTTGTTTTATTTTGATCAGATCTATCGTATCAGTCTTTTATTTAGACCATCTAATATGCAATATTCTTTCCACAAGTATACCAGATAATTATAGAATTTGTGAACATGATAGATAGATAGATGAGATATTATTATTTAATGTTTTTGAAATTATATGTTTCTTTCTTTAACTGTGAAAATTATTTTTACGTGTATTTTTATTTCAAGTGCTTATGGTTAAAAATTGTTCAAATCTGAACAAGAAATTTGTCCGTCAGGAATAAAAGAGAGTTCGTCTCGCGGTAACGCTGGGTACGAGGCCAATGACGCGGCGCGAGCAGTGCGACACCGCGCCCTGCTACAAGAGGTGGACCGCGCTGACGTCATTCTACAGACACACATTCTAAGAGGACCTTTAGGCTTAGCTGATCATTGGCCTGACGTCACTGAAACTAGGTAACCATCTAAAATTATAGATTGTATAATATTAAAACTAAACAGAACACGACTTTTCAACAATAATTTTGTACTTTCAGAGCTTTTCTGCAAAATGCTCTTCAAAGACTTCTCATGTCTGATCTCAAGTACTGCCAAGCAGACAATATTGAACACCATTTTTGGAAGATTTTGTACTACAACTTTATAGAACCATTAAGAAAAAGTTTTACCCAAATGACGCCTGAAGACAAGCCGAAGATAGTGAAATTGATTAATGTTATAATTGAAGAAGGAAATACATTTTTCGAAAACTTAATTCAAATGTTGGAGAAAACTTATAAGTTTAATGTGGACGATTACATAAATGACAATCATGTCTTACCTCCCAAAGGTCTTGGGTATGTGGGTTTGGCTTTAATATCAGTTCAAAAGATATACGTTTTTTTGGGGGATTTAGCGCGATATAAGGAACAAGTGAATGAGACAAATAATTATGCTAAGAGTAAATTTTGGTACACAAAAGCTCAACAGATCAATCCTAAGAATGGCAGACCATACAATCAGTTAGCTATATTAGCAATATATGCGGTGAGTATTCATTAAAATCGTGCATAGTCAACTAAATACTGAAGTGAATTAAATTACAATGTTTTAAATATGTGTCTTGGTTTCAGAGAAGAAAATTAGATGCAGTATATTATTATATGCGAAGTCTCATGTCGTCCAACCCTTTTCATTCAGCACGAGAGAGTTTGTTATCACTTTTTGACGAAAATAGAAAAAAGGTAATTGAATTTTGTGTTATTCATTAATATTATAAACATATTATTAAAAAATAATGCTAATTTGTGTTGTGTATTTAGTATGAGGCAGCAGAACGCAAGCGTCGAGCTGCGCTGGAGGCGACCAAGAACAGTGATGCCGCGGCTTCTGGAGGCACCAGCAATAATAGTGTAGTAGAAGGTACACCCGGCATGAAGAGAGAAGTATGGGTGCGACCCAGTGGACACAGGACCACTACCTTCCGACCAGCATCTAGGGACGAACAACTTGCTACTATGACATCAGTTGAGGTAAATACTTACCTAAGCCTAACTACTTATTATGTGGGACTCATAACTTATCTAACTGGTAGGAGTTAGGTGTTCCCTTTAATGTTTTATTAAGATTTAACCTGTTGAAATCCATCCCCTAAATTTGGTCATACAAAAGTAGTCTCTAAACATTACAAATAAGGTCTATAATGTAATGTAATATTAGTGGAAAGCGGTCACCGGTGACCGCTTAGGGATTTATGGGTTTAATCAAAATAAAATGTTTCGTAACATATGGTTTGTTCTTTGTTACAGCTCAACAAAAATTTCATTACCAGTTATTTACACGTTCATGGGAAACTCATCACTAAAATAGGGTAAGTGATGTTGTATTTTATTATTTTTGACTATTGATTATCTATTGACATTTTATGTGTCGTGGCTATATCGTAGTATTGCCCTTTTCTTGAAATGTCCGAGCTTTTGCACGATATTGGATAGTCATCCAATAAAATAGTCATATTACAAATGTTATTGATTTACGATCTGATTACGATATAAATGCATTTGACCACGACTTTATGTACGACAATTACATATTTATAAATATAACGTTTCTACTTTAATTTTACTGCTCGTAATTGGATGAACTGAGAGCAAAATTTAATAATTATTTCCAATTAGAATGGAGACCTTTTACGAGAGTGCGAGTTTGATGCTGCGTCAATTTCGCGCCCTGCTTCATCGCCAGCCACTGCCAACTCCTGCCGCCCGACTATTGCAACTGACGGCACTCAATATGTTCGCAGTGGAAACCACCGCCGCATCACTTAAAGGTAAATCTATTATATATATTCATTTAGTAATATAGGCTATGTCACCTTCTAAACTGGGAACCTTAACATAAGAAGAGTTTGCCGTAATTTACACGTTCGACGTTTACCAGACAACACTGCACACGATCTCTGTTAAATGTGTAGTCCTTTAGCCTGCTGATGGCAAACCATCACCAAACGACAAACCAAAATATTTAACAAACATTTATACTCCGAATGTAATAGTAACACAAAAAACGTAATAGCTTCTATATTATGTCCACTGTGAATTAAACCCCACGTGGTTGACGAGTCCAAATTCTGTGTAATCATATTTTTATTGACTTCAAAAAAAGGAGGAGGTACTATGTTCGGCTGATTTTTTTTTTTTGTTTGTCGCGCCGTACTCCGCCATTTGTGAACCGATTTCCAAAATTCTTGTTTTGTTTGAAAGGGTATACTCCCGAGATGGTCCCATTTCCATGAGGTCAGGATCTGATGATGGGATCCTAGGGAAACCGAGGGAAACTTTCGAAAATTCTATGGGCGAGTAATGCGTCTATTATTTTTTTCAATTACGATTTTCAAACACTACAATTTGATAAGGGTCTGGAGCCGACCTGATGATGGAGCCGACAGACAGTCGAGGGAACTCCTCAGCAGCTTATATTAACTACCTTGTGTTTGGGCTTGATTAATTAGTATTGATGAGGACTTTACACCTAGAAAGAGTGGGGCTGTCATTAAGGGTCTGATGATGAAGAAGTTTAATTGTTAAGGGAACTCCTCAACGGTATACTGTAACTACCTTGTGTTTGGGCTTGTATAATTTGTATTGATTAGAACTTTGCACCTATGTAGATTATAAGTAACAAAACGGGTATATGTAGCTTTACACTGAAAATGATAAAATAATAAAATAAAAACTGCGTTTAAAAAACCGACTTCAAAAAACCAAAAACTAATAACAAAACTAAAAAGCAAAAAATAACTATTATTAGTACTGATAGGTTATCCACCCACTGGTAGGATGGAAGTCGGTGCCATAAGCTCATATCATAATGATATAACTTAATGTCCACAAAATTGTGAATTAGGTGCCTATTAAGGTTTTAATGAATAATTTTGTATGGAACTTATGGCACCGACTTCTAACCTACCAGTGGGTGGGTAACCTATCAGTACTAATAATAGTTATTTTTTGATTTTTAGTTTTGACTTTTTGTTTGTTATTAGATTTTGGATTTTTCAAAATTTTAACTTGCTTTGTTGTACTGTTGCATGTGTATTATAATAACATTTGATACGCCGACATAAAGTCAAGCTTAGCGCTGCACAACATAGGTAAATGCATAGAAATTTACATGACAGAAGTTTGAGGTATTTTATAGATATACAGATCACTTCATAGTAATAGTAAACCTGAACTTATTTTGTGACGTATTGCTTGTCCCTTCCGGGAATAACAGGTGTGATAATAAATTATTTATATATATACACCTATGTAATAAGTTCCTTATTTACTATGAAATTTATATTATATCTCTGATATATGAGTATTTCGAGACTATATTTTGCTGTTGGTCGATATTTTATCATGCAAAATGGGTATCGTAAAGTAAGTCGTTATGAGATACGTATATTGCAGCAGTTCTCGATTCTCGATGGCTTTGCGTTTTGATCTCTGACAGAATTTAAACGTTAGTGTAAACTTGCTTCGTGCCATGAATGCTACTGCCCACTTCAAAGAGCACAAATATGTTAATAATTTGATCGCATCTGTTTCATATTTTATAACTTGCTATTACCAGTGGCTTCGCTCGCATTATCGGGATGAAAAGTAACCTATATGTCAAACCAGATTTAAATCATTGTGTTGTTCAATAGTCTTGTCGTGAAAGAGTCACTTTCGCATATTTGCTATGTGTGCTATAACTGATAGGTCATACTTGAAAAGGGAATGCGTTTATTGTAACTTTAATTTTTGTCGAGACATTATCCTAAAACTCCTCTTTCGAAATTACAATTCAATATAGACGAAAAGACCCTCTAAATTATCATTCCTCCTAACATGTATTTTTTAAACCGGAGGATGGGTATTTTTATCGGAAATACTTGTACTTTAGAATCGTAATGATAAAATACCGTTAAAAATTTAGAAACAAGTTTATTTAAATGAATTTTATTATTAAAATATTGTTAATTTTAATTCAATATATTATTTCTTTATTCAAGATGATGATAGATATGTTGTATAAAATATAGCGAAATTTGTTAAACGCTTTGCTCAAAGCTGTTACTCATAAACTATCACACGAGATCAATTTCATAATGTCTTATATTTTCTTTTTCAAAGTATGGGAGTTTTAGTAATCTGCTAAGAATGCGTACACGGTCATTGACTGCGCTACCTTCTGGGTAGAGATTGCATTTTAATATTTGTTAATTAAATAAGGGTCGATTGTTAGGAATAATATAGGTATAAAACTTCAAACACTCATTGAAAAATACTTTAATGTCATCGCTTTAAATTAATAGAATAAATTTGATGGCCGTCTTAGACTTTCTTAATTATTTATTTTAATCTTCTAACCGTTAAGTCACACATAAAACTGGTCGGCCAAAGCCATTAAAAATAAACGCTTTTGCTACTCAAGGGGGGAGGGTAATGTTAAGTAGCGGTTCAAGGGTCTATTACCAGGATCTTGGTTCGTTCCTATTTCTAGGATCCTATAATTATCGCTTAAAGCGGATCACGTCAATCAATCATGGCAGGCAGGAGTATGAGCCAAGTTGTTAGCTATTATGCTTAAAATATTGTACTAAGCTAAACTTTAATAGTACGAAATAACGAATACCACAAATTAATGAACGTATATAAAATTATCTGTTATCTAATTTCGAGAAATAAATGTTTAATTTTTTATTGACCATAAAACGATGGAAACGTTTTAAGTAAAATTGCAAAATGAAAATCGTTGCATTAGCAATTATCAAGTTTGTAATAAAACGCAAAACGTACATAGAAATGATAATGATGACGTTTTAACTGCCGTCCTTCATTGGGAGTCTTTAACTTCAATTAAACCCTGCGCGATATGAGTACAGGCACAACATAACGGAGAATCCGGCATGACAGCATCTTTAATTGCACTGAATAGGAGTAATAGTCACGCGTTCGTGCCGATAAGAAATAAGAGGTATTTAATATGGTCAAAGGATTTTACTATGGCTCGGACTGACATGTTTATATACGGAATACGGAATACTGAGTCATGGATGTTTCGCGTCTATGTCATAGTCTCATTAAATCCAAAACAGGTGCACTGGAGTTTACATTTTAGAGGTTTAGTATATGACTTTATACTCAACAAATTCCTACTCTTATGTAAAATAAAGAAAATCAAATGAATACTCCCTAGTAGTTTAGAAAACCTCTTAACTTAATAAAGCTATTGCTTAACTTAATAAAAGTGCTGTAAAAGTATTTAATGAAGTGCTTGGGTCATCAATTTATTTTATAATAAATATATTATTGCATATGACTTTATACAGCAAACTTAATTGAACAAAAAATATTACTGTTTTACAATTACAAGTCCGAGGAATTAATCATTTTAATAAATGCATCGGGTTTTTACAACTAGTTTTACTTTTTTCGTCACTATTTCAATGAAATATTAAGCGTCAGTCATTAATTTATTAATTATTTTAGGATGTACATATTTCTATTTGGGTACCGCTCATAGATGGAAACTGGTATGACAGCTACTGAATCATAAAAATATCTTGCAAATTATGTTACTAAAAGCTGCGTAAAACTGCGTGCTTGCCATAAAAGATGTTCATATACTTTTTAGTATATTTCTGTGAATATCTTTTTAATGATATACAATAAGTCAGTTACACTATTGTAACTGTTTTATATCTTAAAGAATCTATAGAGGTTCTATTAAGGTTGGTTACTCATCATCATCAACAGACATTAAATGCCCACTGCTGAGCAAAGCCTCTAATTAATTAAATATTTTATATAAAACAACTACATATGTACTTTATCATTGTACTGTGAAAACGGTTACATTGGACTGTAATAGTAGGAATACACGTATTCGATTTACGAAATTAATATATAACGTGAGCTGTAAACGTGGCTATTTCCTGTGGCTCCGTCCGGGCGCAGTAAAGGTTTGTAATTACAAATTACAAGTTATTGGAGGTTGATGCACTGCACTCCGTCGCCGCCGCGCCGCCTGCGCCCGCGCACCGCACAAATGCACACATTTGATGGCGACAGGTTCAACAAACTGACTCGGCGTCGGCACGGTGACGACCACTCTTTTACGCCATTACTCGTAATGATGTTTTGAATTATTATAGAAAAATTATGGCGTTCAAGACCCTTAATTATGACGTTCGGCAAGACGATGCCCTTTGGCAGCACACGGGACGGCCAAAGTTCCTGGAAAGATAAATGAGATAGCGTTTTGTATGAACATAAATACCAAACATAAATCAGGTGGAACATAGATTTTGGATTGCGATAAAATTTCTTCTTACCTCGGTGTATTTCATATGATTGTATTCTTGGTTTACAATAGAGACACGGTCGACCGAGTACATGAATAGTGGTCTTCATAGAAGTGCAAGAAGTAGGGAAACATTATGTAGAAAACCATCTATTGCAAGAATGTGGATTTCATTTAAATAGTTGACATACAGAAAGACCTTTTAGCTGCGCCCTTGTGCTGTGTAATATATTGCTACACTTGAATTTATTATGACACACGTAACGAATTTTACATGCAAGGCAAGGTATTTCTGTGCGCCTGTTTATCCAGGTATTTGTTAAGCAGTATAGTAGGTGTTTTGCGTTTGCAGGTGCAATCCGTGCTGCGTATTTTTAGACGACTATTTATATCGGACCGGCTTTAGCGACCGATGAGCTGTCGGTGGATGATCCAATGACGACGTGTTTTTATCACTATTCATGTGTGTAGCTTTGTTTCTGTAATACTCCATATGACATTAAAAATTAATATTGGCATCGATTTACAATAAACAAGAAGAACAATACTTATACGGTCGCATTAATGCAGAGAGACGAACACATTTTCAATTATGTTGGATGAAGTTTGTCGTTCCTTGTGGGGTTTTGTGGTTAAGTTGGTGGTTCTGCTCTCGAGTTAGTCACACGGAAAGCTACTTTGTTAGTTGTCATCCAAATAAATGTATGATCCGAAGAAGTGAGGAAAATATTGTTTCGGGTCACGTTCGTTTTATTTCGAATCTGTACCCGTGTTGATTACGGAGAAGCAATGATTCAACAGGTAGCTGGTTCCGGTTGGTCCTGATCGTTTACTGATTAATGCAAACTGCTTTGTGTGCGGTGGTTGAGACTCACGATTGTATGCACATACATGATTATACGTATTTGCTTGTAAAAATAAACTGGCTGCCGATAATTCTAAACAAATAATGTAGTACTTTATGTTTTAAGAAAATATTTGAGTAAGACTTATGCTGAAATATTTAATTGAGTCGATGAACTTGATTTGCTGGTTATTAGGGGACAAGTACACGTGTCCAGCTGTATTCAAAATAAATTTTGGCAAAACAAACGTAAACATGAGATAACAAAACATTACACATATTTGAGAGGTAAAGTGCTCTCTGTTGTTATTAGATCCACATGATGAAAATAATTTAAACAGGAATAATTGGCGTTCGTGTTGAAGATGTTTGATAAAGATAATGTATGATTGTACGACAGAGGGCAACAGCGGAGAGCGATCGGCGTGGTTGGAGTGCGCGCTGGGCGTGTCCCTGCTGATGTTCGGTGCGATGCTGGAGCGATGCTGCGCACTGCTGCCGGAAGCGCCGCAATCACAGCACCACACCGACGCCTTGCTACTACTGCCGGCCATCAAGGTACCACGTACTGCACGCCCGCTAATAAACTTATCAGAGCCTCTATCTATGGCTCATTTACTTAGTTCAAATCGTGAATTACGAAAACAGTCCCACATGGCAGAAATTTAATGAAATAAATATAAACAAACTCAGATTAAAATTCGCAACTTTACTTTAGAAGAGAATTTTAATTATGATTGCTCCAAAACGATGCTTTCCAATATGGTCCTAATATATCGCTGTTACGGTATCGCCTAGACACAACAGTCGAATCAAAATAGCGCCTTTTGATTTGTGGGTTACTGTAATACCGACTGCCAGATCTTGTTTTTTTTCCTCAAACGTTTAGAGAAGTACAGTTAAGAAGCACCAATTACTTCGGCGTTTTGGTGTAACGTGTAATTAAGATAATTGCTACGTGCGCGTTAATTTGATAATAATTTATTAAATGTAATCGTTTCATAATAGTTATTTATATTTTAAGGTGTGGTCAGACTGGATGTTATGCCACAGTAGTATATGGAATCCACCACCATCATTCGACAGTTTTGACGTTGGGTAAGTTTCATATTACCGTTATTTTACCTATATTTGTAATAAAATTTTTGATTTTTGACTGTTTATTTTTGTTTAGAGCCGACAACGACCCGTGGGATTGGCTTGCGAAGCTTATGAACATATTAGAAGCTCTCGATGACAAGTCGATAGAATTCGAAAACGAAATGAAAGAAGGTGAGATTCCATTGTTATTTGTTTACACTACGGACACTGGACAGGTTGCCTTATTGGGTCGCTTGCTCAGCTTGTTCAACGTCTGTGAGAAGACCGTTTTTTTATGTTTCTTATTTGTCATTCTCATTGGCATTGTAACACTAAGTTGTCATCAAATACTTGAACGTTAACGTGAGTTTTTACTCTGTTTAAAGATGTAGTGTAATTGTAGTCGTTTCTTTTCATTTCATTGATAAGTTCTAAGTATTATAATTTTTTGCCTTTATTCTAGACTAGATAAATATTTCTTAGTGCCCTAATATGGGTAAACTCTCTTGTGTAAGTAAACGTCGCAGGTACAAAATTACTCTTTGTTTTGTCAAGCGTGCCGATTGATGGCTAAGCTTCGCTGTAATTATGCATAACCTCAGTGAACATTAAAAGCGTTCGTACATTGTTGGCATAAAAGTAACTTCTAATTACCGCGATACATAATTCCCGTCACTCTAATAGCTTTGCTAGTATCAGTGTACCTATCTCGTGTTGCGGGCGCCGTGGGTTCAGCAGATCCCATAAGGATAAAGAGAACGATAGTGCATGTTTATAACTAGTATATCACCTCTGCCCGGCGCCTGTACTTTACCAAGCTAAACTGAAACTCGATATTACATAAATATACCGATTTATGTAACAAAACAAAGCTATTAAAATAATTTGTATCACTCTTTTTGTTTAACTTGATCTTAACATGTTGTCTTCGGTATTCAGGAGTCTAGAACTTTGAGGTATTTTCTCATTAATATGGGTGAATTCAGTTTTTTGGAGACTTGAAACAAATTCAATATCATGGTGCAACAATACGAAATACTAATGTGTACGTGTACGTAAGGTTACGTGTGCGTGCGTCTGCCGGAGGACGCGTCTCTGGGCGGGTTCACGCCGCTGATGTACATGGAGCCGGCCGTGGCCTGGGTGCGCGCCGACCAACTGGGACAACACCACGCCGCAGAACACGCCCTCAGAATCACCAAGCTACTGTTCTTCGGCACTGAGTGAGTCGACTATACATTCTATCTATTAGCTATTTACTTACTTTTAGTAACTATGAGAATCCTGCAGACGCAAGATTGTGAACCAGCTTGCTACGCATGATGGGTATGTGGAATTTTTGTTTCCGAATGAATTTTAATTCTAAGGCGGAACAATGTTTTCTGTATAAAATAGTAAATGAGCAATGGAACAAATCGTACACCCTGATCATTTTGATTGATCAACTCAAAACTTGTTTAAAAGTTTTCGTGAGATTCCACTTAAGTGCTTATAAAAACTGTCATATATGCCAATCGATTGGGTTTTTAACGTTTATGCACAGTTACAGACGTCGTGAAACTTTATAGCGGTTCCAAGCTTCTTAACTTAGCTTTAGGTACCGCACTTTGAATATGTAGGCGGTGGTTTATTATTTATTAGTTTGCCGTAGGTTTCACTACCAAATGGTAAAAGTGTTCGTTTAAAAGTTTCATATTGAAAAAGGGTATTTAAGGTTCTTTGAATTTACAGAACATGTCGGACAATATTTGACTGCACGGTTGGCGCGTTGGCTGGGCAACTGGCTGCCGCGCAACGTGTCGCGGGTTCGATTCCCGCACGGAACGATTCTTTGTGTGATCCACAGATTGTTATTCCGGGTCTGGGTGTCATGTGTATGTGAACTTATATGTTTGTAAACGCACCCACGACACAGGAGAAAATCCTAGTGTGGGGCAACGTTTAAAAAAATATATATATAAAAAAAAAACTAAAAAAATATAGATAGGTAGATATTCCGAGCACCGTTTACTCTATCAAGAATGATAAAAATAATAAAATGAAATTCGTTATCATCAGCCCCTTTTCTTCAAAACTTACGTAGGTCTCACCAATAACACGCCCAACAAACAAACTAAATGTCTTCGTACCCATTTTGCTTTTTTCATTGTAGAGAATTTATCGATATTCTCTGCGTACCGTACGGTAAACCGTCGACTTTGCCTAGCTTTAAAGCAATCTATGTCCCAGTGAAACATTTTTACATGACAATGTGTTGATAAACAGGTACTTAGTGGGCGTGGAGCCCCCGGTACTAAAGTTGGAGTGTCCGGCGGACGCGTCGCCGAGATACGTCAGCGCCGTGCAACGAGCGCAGCCACTGCATGCACCACTGCAACAACTGGTAAGTAACTTAGTTCGTATTATGCAATGATTTTAGTAGTGAACATCACTATTAAATCTCATGTAATCATTAAAAAAAAACGATCTTTTAATCGACTTCAAAAATTTAACGAGATTCTCAGTTTTACCTGTATGTGTGGTTGCATGATTGTCCGCGTTTATCTTTCTTTTATCGTATGTTATAGACTAGTTATAGACACCATATATACAGTTATAGCCACCATTTTATGGTAGCTTGGAATAAAAGTAACATAATATTTTAAAAGTCTATTTCTTATCATTACGAATATTTGAAAGAAATGCAATAAAGTTGCGACTTATTACATGACATTACAATTAATAAGTATTTAGAGTAAGTGATTATAAGTGTCGACTTATAGTAATTTGCAATGCGGTACTCGTTAATTGTTTGTAACGAGAAGTATATTTTATAGGATTTTATAGTGCCTATAAAGTATATTTAATTTTACATAATAATATGTATTTATCCTGTCGATTATAAAGCCAATTAATTTATGATATAACTCCTGCCTCGTGTATTTTATTTTTGCTATATCGAGCTTCTTCTTCATCTGTTTTTCGTGTTTCCAAGCCCATAGTTATATTATTTTGGTTTTAGTCTGAAAATTCTGAGGATGAAAGCAATACCAGTGGTGGTGCTAGCGAGGCGCCCAGTCACAGCGAGGGAGTCGAGGCAGAGGGGACCGACGAAACGACACGCAAACTGCTGCGCCGCAAGGAACAACTCGAGACTAGGAAGGCTACGATTGAGAAACATCGCCAACGTATGCAGGTACGTAACTTACAAACTACATGCTTATATTACTTAACAAGTTTATTTTTATATACCTGCAGGACCTGAAATGTTGTACAACATAAACACGGTAAAGGAAAAGTTCTTGAGAAAATCTGAAATCGCTAATTCGCCTTGAGCAAAATTAAGCAATTTTCCTTCCTTGTTTGTAAGATATCGGTTTTTTCTCAGACAGTTTGTACTATGTTTGGTATACCTAAAGCTATATAAATATAATAAATACAATAATATATTTGTTTATAGGAAATATTAAAAGGAGGTTCTGAAATTGAAGTTCGACCTCGATGGTTAGTGCCGGACACAAACTGCTTCATCGATCACCTGGAATTGCTACAGGCCATTGTAGCTGCGCCGGCGCAACCTTACACCTTAGCTGTGCCTGTTGTGGGTAAGTAACTAGTTGGCAACAAACACTCAGCCAGTCAGCAAACAATATCAGATATCAGTTTTATTGTATCTTGAAGTCTCAAAATATCTACAGAGGAATGTACTTAACTGTTTATTTTTAACATTTTTACTATAATGGAAATGTATGACCTGAAAGTGCTAAAAGTGAATGTAGTTGGAGCCTCTAAATTTTCCGTGAATGTTTAGCAAACTTCTGAGTTCCTTCTTGTTTAGTAGCTGATGGATATCTATAATCTTATTCTTCTAGGAGTCTTAATAGGACATTGTTGCATGATTTAAGGCTGAGTTTCTCAACAGTAGCATTGGAAAATGTGATATTTTTACAGTGATGACGGAGCTAGAAGGCCTACGCCTGAGTGGGCGGGTGGGCTCTGCGGCGCGCTCGGCGTTGAGCTGGGTGGGCGGCGCGGGCGCGGCGCTGCGCCTGGCCACGTCGCGCGGCTCGCTGCTGGCCACGCGCGCCTGCACGGCCGAGGCGGCGCCCGGGCCCGCCACCAACGACGACCGAGTCCTGGCCACAGCACTCAGTCTACACAACAACGTCGCCGCCGCGGCTGATAATGGTGACTATGCTTTTAAACGTTACCCTACACTATATACTTGATTTCATTTGAAAAATACTGATAGTAGATAGTAGTTTATTTTTAAAATAATTATCACAACTGTAAGACTTACAAAGTTACAATGTATACCCTTCCCAAACAAAATAGGAGTCTGTCCTGCGTTATAAGTACGTTTACAAATATACATATCACACCCAAACTATATCACAACCAACTGTGGGTGCGGGTATTCTAATTCCCAGTTTGGACTACGCTAGTATTTTAGTCGAGTAGCGAGTGATGTAGTAGCTAACTGTGTCTGAACAAAGAAAATTCATTAGACTTGGTACTTAGTAGTATTTTTACTTTATTACGCTGAAGGCTATTCATCTTACAAAAAACCACTTGTAAACTATTCTCGATTGAAGTGCGAGCGATTTTGGTATAAAAGCGAGTATTTTAGCTAATAAATTACTCGCTACTCGACTAAGACACTGGTGTAGTGCGAACTAGGCGTCACACTTCACAAAATATTAAAGGTAACACCTTCACTCTTGTTCTTCAACCTATGACACTGTTGAGTAAATATTTCTGTCAGTCACGCCATTTTTACCACTGCTTGTAGATCTTATAATCGAGCAAAAACAATTCATTAACAGCTTGTCTGAGTTTAGTTTCAGAAGAAAATTGGTTCCAGTAACCTAATGTCATGTATAATACTATACATGAATGAATTTGTTCTTTTTGCTAGTATCCTTTGTTATGTACAAGAAATTGTGCATGAATGACATGCATATTGTTTACTATTTTGCACACAGAATACCAAAACAAATGACGATAATATGGTCAGCTATTGCAAAATAAAAATAAAACCGATACTTAAATAGTTGTTAACTATATATACTTAATAAATATCTCTTTAATAATTTTCTTCACAATCCTGATGACATTAGAAGTTAATATAAAACGACTGCCATAAAATTTCTTAAGTATGTGGTTAATTCCATATTGCAGAGTGGTTGGAAACTGAGTTGTTCATTTTTATAGATATACTTCCCACACTACAGATACGCAGCGGAAAACGTAAAACAAATATTGCACTATAAAATTATCGTAAATGTTACTTGTACAGCAGATATGTGAATAAGTCCATATAAACTGCTAAAACTAAATTACATATTAACGGGAGGGCAATTAAGTCATCAGGCAACAGGAATTAATATTCCTGTAACTACTTCGTGTATATTCAATGGTTATACACGACGTAGTTGTTAAAGTAATCTCATTGTAATAATGTACATATGGGTAGTTACTTAAAAATATTACATTGTCGTTACATTTTCTAAGTGTTTTTATTTCTTCTTCACATCATTATTGGTTGAGTGTGCGACAAATGTCACGTTTATGTTAGGGCAATTTTTCTGTGTTTGAGTTAAGTGATATTAAATGAATTTGTATCGCATCGAGCAGCCTTCGAAATGCGTGTGAGAAAACGTGCGGTCGGCGCGTGTCGGACCGGTAGATGTGTCGCCGTCGACCTACTCCGCGCCCGACGGTAGCGGCCTGGTACTACATATCTCAGCTCGCGTGGACGGTGATTTTATCTGCACTGGCGCCGCCGATTATTTGTTTTAATGATGCTTCCTTGGTAGCATTCCGATACGCGACAAAATTGCACCAGCGCCTGTATCGTGTAGCTCCGTGTCGTGTTATCGAGCGATTCGAACTGAACTTATGTCGTGCAATGTTACAGATTCCCGCGGAGACGACGGCAGAGAGGCGCCGAAGGTAGCGCGGCGCGTGCGGGAGGTGGTGCTGCTGACGGACGACCGCAACCTGCGCGTCAAGGCACTCGCCGCCGAGCTACCCACGCGGGACCTGCCCTCCTTCGTGCACTGGGCTGGCTTGATCAAAGATGATGCTGCGGTACGTTTACGTTAATTAACTGGGTAATATATACATAGATAAAGAGTACCTTAAGTGCAATTATAGTAGAGTAATTATCTAGGACCCTGTGATTATCGTTAATGGGTAACAAGGTAGCAAGTATACAGTTATATGATTGCACGTTGCAGAGTACGGAGGCGGGCGCGGGCGCGGGCGAGGAGAGCGCGGGAGCACGCAAGTGACGTGCGTTCGGCCACAGTGACGACAGTTTAGCTCATATTCTGATTTACTTTATTAATAACCTGAATGCGAGGTGACTTAATGTTGCAAAGATAATAGTGCTTAATAAAGGTAATAGCATTCTGCCCGGGTGCATGCGCGCTGTATGGATCTGAGGTAATGATTGCGCCTCATTATAGTATAGGAATTGAATAGATTAAGTAAAATTAAATACACCAATAGAAGGTTAAAATATTAATAGATTTTGTTAAGAGCTTTAGGATTCCACCTCCGTGTTCCTGGGCTACATTTACTTTGTTATTTTTTTACATATTTTCCGTTTTATTTGTAAGGTATTAGATAAATCGGAAATTCAGTGTTGCTGAGCTATTTTTATTTACTTTTTTTTTGTAATATAGCAACTATATTTTTTATTATTTTCTAGTTAGGTGATAGTAACAAAATGTATGGTATTACCTATCTCTAACATCAAGTACAGGACACATAGCATGTAATATGATTTGTATACAATGTTATCAACTGATCCAATTATGATAATTAATTGACTGCATGTCTACATATATTTGATTTTTAGAAATTATGATTTTAAATGAATTTAAGTACATTATATAATACCTATAATTTTTTGCATGATTTCATCGAAATGCCATGTGCCATTCATTGCTCTTGTTAAGCGGCTCAATGCGTGTTGCCTTTTCCTTCTATACAATATAATTATTATATCGACAGCGACTTTTAGCTAGACACGTTTTCTTACCGCTTAACACTTTTTTATATTTGGAGTGAGCAACCGCATCATGATAATTTTTATAATAAAATGTAGTACAAAATGTTTGACATTACAAGGACACTTGGTGTTTTTACTCAGGTTTGTATAGAACTAGTATAGACGACACAGCAAATTTTTCATCACTTATGTAATTATGTATTATCAGCATCAAAATGTGTATTTTCAAAATGCAATGAAACACTCGAATAGTTTCATTTATTTTGCTAGATAAGTTTTGTATTCCCGATAGAGGTGCGTGTTTGCAGAACCTACAAGTTAGGCGAGCGTTTACTGCGGAAGCACGAGATGTAGGAGCCAGTTTGTCGGGTATCTAAAAAATCCTATTAAAAATTTGTAACGATTATTTTGGTGCACCTTGTAACCAAATGATTGGCACCTTCACCTATAACAGGTTATCCTTATACATGTAGATAAAACGTATTGTGTATAAACAGATTTTTAATGATAACTATATGGTTAACAATTATTGTAACAAAGTTTTTCATTTTTGAAACATTTGATGCTGTTACTTTTGTCTTGATCATGACGTTTTAATTAAACATTGAATTACTTCAATATAATGTGTTTTGTATTTTTTCCTTTACCGTAAGTGCAATTCGTGTGTACAGTTTCATGATTCTGTAAATGTTTGAGCAAATAAAAATACAAAGGAGTTACTAACACGTAAAGGTCGTGTTAAATTTTATTCTAAAGAAATCTTACGTCTCGAGTGATGGATTGTAAACATCACTTCGTCAATTGTGTTTTAGGTATTCACGGATTTAAATAATCGATAAAATGATAACCTTCAGCTATTCAAATTTATATAAAAGAGTTATAACAGCTATTAGCTTTTGAATTTTGCAGTCGTGTTATTTAACGGATCATTTGTTTGTATAAGTTATTATATTATGTCTATAAATTCATTCTAGATATTATATTAGATATTGCTACGACAGTCGTTTGGTATACTTGTATGATTAGAATATGCAAATAGCAAACTGTTTCTAGCTTCATCCGCCCCTATGACAGAGACGCGGCACCTTTGAATGCATGTAGTAGCTCTATCTGATGAATACATTTTCCTCACTATTCCACCTCACTAGATTAGATGTAGATACTTCCAGTGGAACTAACACGTTTGAAAAATAATCTTCTATATATATATATATATATATATATAAGAAAGTCGTGTTAGTTACACTATTTATAACTCAAGAACGCCTCAATCTAGCTAGTATAATTATATATCTACACGTATGTCACTAACGCCTGGTGACTTAAAACCAGAATAGGAAGCAACCTATTATTTATTCTTAGTTCCACAGTGCTCAAGAAGTACCGTCAGAAATCCGTTTTATAATATCTAGGTTGACCGTCAAGTATGGAAATTAGAAAAAAATAGTCGTGTCATGCAGCTCTAGAGCTTGATTTTCTAAAAGATTGTAGTTGGGAGACAGTGATGCTAATTTAGGATTTATTCGGGCGCCGTCGAGTTACTGGGATTTCAAGATTTGGAGATACCACGAAAAACATGATGGAGGAGAGTTTGCAGTTTTTAAAAAACATGCAACGTGGCAGATATTGTTTTATTTTTATTTCTTACGACCCTGATAATGAAGGAATCCTATTCTGTCGCATGGCACGGTGGTGGCCGTAAGAACGGATATAAATGAGAGCCATTTAAAACAACATTTCAGAATTATAGTTAAATTCTCCCCTTCAGAAACTTTTCATAAACCTGAACAACCTATATAGAAAAGCTTGTGAGAACGTACCCATAAAAGGTATCTTCTTGGATCGATGGTACACATTTTCAGAATAGGTGTCAGTAATATGTATGTTACTGATGACAGGACCGGCTGGCTGGAGTGAATCTAGGTTGTGTGTGAACGTGCAAGTATTAAAACCTTTTGATTATGAAATAAATTTCTGTAGACTTTCAAACTCATATTATTCATAAATAATGTAATAAACAGTAAATCTATTCATGTTTTACTGGTGAGAAATTCCAATGTTAAGACTTGAGCAATGGGAATTGGCAATGTTCCGAGGCGAGGCTAGGCGCGCACCGGTGCGGAGGTTGTAAAAGCACCGTTATACTTATTTACCGTGCGCATCTTGCTTTAGGCGCTGCTTTAGCTTATTTAAAATATATACAAGACGGATGCACATGCAGTGAGCACGTCTGCACGTTACACCACTCATGGCTGCTTTGTAATTCAGCACACGTTATGGATTACCTGCGTTACCTAGTTACGTTAATGCTAATGACGTGTCTAATTAAAAGGGCAGTTTGCAGATTTCCTTATAAACGCAATTTTCATGTGAACTCTAAAATATTTTATGAATCATAACAACAACTTGCAGGGTTAATTACCGGATAATGATTACCTACATAATTCAGGTTGTTAATTTCATAACAGGACATAGGTAGGCTACTTCCTTATTAGTAGGGAGAAACGCATACTGCATACCTATTAAAAAATTGTAAATTAATTTCTTTCTTAAAAAGGGTACCTTAACGTATTTATTACGTTTAATGTGATGCTTGTTGAGGTAGGTTGAAGTTCAGGTACCTCTATGTATGTATCTATGTGTGGCCACATTTTCTACAGCTAAGTGTGTGGGTAGGCACCTGTCTAGGTATTCGGTAGGTACTATTGTATTGCTATTTTTTATGAATGAGAACACGAGTATTTACTTGATTAGAATCGGATAATTCCTGGCTTAGATGCATTCCACTCATATCATACCTGGGCATAAGATTTAAAGAGAGATAAATTACGCAATTTATATGAAAAGATAAATTTGTTATTGTACGTTTATCTGTTGATCGTCGACCGACCCATAAATAGTAGGCACCTACCCAAATGCTGTATTTTGATTATTGCTACACAAGCAAAATGTGGCTGCTACGGTAAAGCTCAACGTTTTCAAACTAACCACACGCTGCTTTTATTTATTGACATGACATACATCAACATCAAATAAATAGACAGTTGAATCGTATATTACTATTTTATGTAAACATTCAACATATTTTATGTTTTATTGGTGGTCTTATAATATTTCCATTGACGGGACACAGGCAACAATTTCGAGGGCTAAAAGTCCATGGGTATTAAATGTCATTATTTTTATAGGTATCGACATAAAAAAATAAGTATTGATATAATAAATTCTCGCCCATTTGTGTTTATTAATGTGGCTCTGTGCGTGTCGCATGAATTCTTCGCTCTAGGCCGAGTCGGTCCTCACTGTGATTTCATTCTTTAATGACTAATGATCGAACACTTAATTAGGTTAAATAGCTAAGGAACACTCCTAGATTCTAACTTATAGGCTATAAACCTATTAGCTAAACTACGTACCTAAATCAAAGAAGCTTGCGTTGCTTATAGTAGGTATTCGGAGAACTGTTTTTGTGTAGGTAGATTATTTAAGAGTTTTTTGTTAAAGAATCTACAACATTTAAATGAACTGCATCGGTGTACCTACCTACTGCGTATCTTCTGCATTTAAATGGGATTACAGTTCTTATAAATATCAATACACTGTTATTCTAGAAAACCTATACGATCATGCATTTGTTAATAAAAACTGCAATCACGATTAACACATTAAGTAGCCATATTTGATAATGAATAATACCTACAGGTATTATTATGATAAGTAATATGCAGGTACCTATGCTATGTGTGCTTGTAAGTATTTGTATTTAATAGTATGTAATGTAAACTAATCTACCTATATACCTATTGATAGATATAAAGTATAAACGGCTGAAATTAACATGAGTAATATATAGGTATAGAAAAAAATTCTAATGTTATCAATATTATTTTTTTTATGTTTCGTTTTGAGAAAAATGTATAATAATTTCCTTAGAAAATGTTTAGTATCTAGCTACCTACTTACTTATTAGTATGTATATTATGTGAACAAATTAATTACGTATTTTGATAAACATATTAACGTACGATATGAAATAGATTAGACAACTAAAAGCAAGACTAGGTATCGATAAAGACGGAAATAATAAACTGTTTACATTCGGAACAGGACTTTAACATGACACCACTACACAAATACTTATTGAAAGATATCGTGGGGCTAACGAGCCGGCACTAGAGGTTTCATTAATATAGGTAACAATAAAAGAAAATGGTGTCAAGCATTGTAATAAACTAAGAACTATTCTGACCCAATTATTATGTTAATCGGAAACCAATACTTAGGTCAGTGGTGACTGTTGCCGTTCGCAAAATGGTCCGTAATAAATTTATGGAGGGTCTCACCCCATAGCTACTGTGGGGGAAAAAGCGGTGCGTGTTAGTATGTAAGGATATTCCCGCTCTTTGGCTCTCATGAGTTGGTGATTATCAACAATTAGGGATCCATTTTGCCATCTTACCACCCTATTGTTACCCAATGGACTTAGAACACCCCTCTACGTAGGTCACTACATGAATCATCAGTTTAAGCCATAGCTTAAACAAAAAGAAGGCCTATAGATACTCTACGATACTTAACAAATAACAAAAATCATTATCTCTGAATAGATTTATCATGTAAACCTATGTTATAATCATTTCGAGATTTTAAGACCAAGAGTTGATGATTCGTTCAAGGTGGAAACCTTACTTAATTTTCTAAAATATTCTATTCAAATTGGTTAAAATTAGTATTTATATAAAAGTACTTGACCATGTGGTTAGTTTGTTTATTTGAAGGCTTTCTTTGATTACAAGGTTCATAAGTACTTAGGTTGGATACAAGCCTATTTCAGAATTTCACAACAAAACCTGAAAGTTTCAGGTTGTTTTGAAGTTCCACCTTTTTAGTAAAGTATTCAGTCGTCAGGACTAAAAGGACCTCAGTTAAAAGTATTTAATTGAAATAATTCACTACAATATCGCTAAGGTTTACGACGGTTTTAATTCAAAATATAGCGTAATAAGAGATCTCGTCTTGTTTCTAATAAATGTCAATAGGCTGACTCTTTATGTCGTGAGAATTAATGACAAAATATTCATATACAACAACTTCCTGAGGGAAGTTGTTCTTAATAGCACCATTTTTGAAAAAGAAATATAGTTACATAAATATTTAGGTACTAGATTTTAACGCCAGTGAAGAACACATACAAGAAAGGCCTGAAACACCTGCCTACACACTGGCAGCGTCTGCGCAGCTCTTAATGACTATTTGCCAACCTATCCTAATTACCGGGGAGCGCGTACATGATTGTTTAAGCATCGTTTCCGAGTGCGCGTGCGCAGACAGCAGCTCCACGCACGATGTACTAATATATCCTATCAGGTTTCACACAATAGCAAAGAGATTTTCAATATTTACCTAAGTCAACGACCCTCGCATGTCATTATTGAACGACTAACGACTAATATTTACTTTAATTAGCATTGTATGATTAAATAATTGTACCTGCTTATATCAAGCCTACAAGGTGATCAAGCAATGCCTGTGTGGCTGGTAGTAGGAAACAAAAAAGGATTCATTGTGATAGGTACGATTGTCTTTATGGTACATAAAAAGTTATAAATGGTACATGA